GGAATGTCATATACGATTGGCGCCGCGCTGCGGGTGCATCGTTTACCGCTGGCTGACCGTTGAGGCAGCTCATCGTTAAGGAATTTGACGTCGAAACATAACTGCCGTTGTGTTGAAATTGTTGTAATTTCCGCGTATCCGGTGTGGTCTGTGGCTCCCTGCCAAGGAAAACGCCAAAGTCGACTTTGTCAAATTTGTGGGCCTTCTTGGTCTTGTTGCCGGTTACCATTCGACAGGAATGTCATATCCAATTGGCGTGCGGGTGCATCGTTTACCGTTAGCTGACCATCGAGGCAGCTCATCGCTAAGGAATTTGACTTCGAAACATACCTGCCGTTGTGTTTAAAGTTTTGTATTTTCCACCTATCCGGTGTGGTCTGTGGCTCCCTGCCAAGGAAAACGCCAAAGTCGACTTTGTCTTTCCGGAGTGCCATATACCGACTGAAAATCATAATCGTAGTTGTCTCACTCTGATAGACGCTGTCACCGTCCGCTATCATGGTATGTGGTTTATAGCGGGCTGGGACTTGGACGAGGAGGTCGAGGTGTTCATGGGTGATATCGACCTTATCACTCGTGGCGGCATGTAAGCTATAGCTCTTGTCGTCATCTATCATATTCATTAGGTAACGATTTCCATAGCGACGCTTATGTATCAGCCCATGTGTGTCCACATGAAAGTGCTCCGCTGGATGCCAACGCCGACTTTGTTGTCGATTTTGTGGGCCAACCTCTTGGCCTTGTAGCTGGTAAGCTTAAATATTACCACGCAGTCAATCGGGCTTGAAGAAATCTAGGTACAGTGGTGCTTGTCTTTTTGTCAGCAGGTGAATGTAGACGACCCATGGCGGCCAAATTCTCATTGTGTATGATGCATGCATATTCATGTGGGTGCGGCCACATGGAGACGGGCTGAAGTAAACATCAGAGTAGGGTGCGCGTAATCTCGTTCAAAATACGATGAGGGCTTTCCACTTTCCTGTTCAGTTGCGGCGTGCGGGCTGGAGTCTTCCGGAGCGCCATATGCCGACTGAAAATCATAATCGTAGTTGTCTCACTCTGAAAGACGCTGTCACCGTCCGCTATCATGGTATGTGGTTTATAGCGGGCTGGGACTTGGACGAGGAGGGCGAGGAGTTCATGGGTGATATCGACCTTATCACTCGTGGCGGCATGTAAGCTATAGCCCTTGTCGTCATCTATCATGTTCATTAGGTAGCAATTTCCATAGTGACGCTTAGGCATCGGCTCATATAAGTTCACATGAAAGTGATCCGCTGGGCAGAAAACAGAATCGGATAGTGCGTGTTTAACATGCATACTTTTCATTTCGCCTTCTTGGCAAACGAGGCAATTTTTGGCAAATGCAGGATGTGCGCGTGCGTACATAATGGCTGTTTGTAGACTTTCACGTGGAGAGACGGTGAAGTGAAGTGGCCAAACAAGGGCAACCAGCGTATAAATCCAAGAAGGTTTACCAACGGCTTCTTTGCCGTGACGTAAGAAAGTATTACCTGTATCAAGGAAAAATATATATGGGTCGCTGTGGCCACCAGAGTGCACACGGGCGGAGGGGCACACAAATCGCAAGTGTGGTACCAAGGCGGACATTAAGCTTTAAGAGATCGTGTATATCCGTCCACCTTGGTTCCCATAGGCAATTTCGTTGAGATATTCAACCTTCGAGTAACAGTTAACTAATCCACTTTCCGGTTCAGCATATCTAGGGGCCTGGACATTGTTGGCGGAGGCACAATCGTCGATCGTTGGTGCGTAATCCAGGAAGGTCATGATTTGCTTCCAATCAGTTCGGTTAAGCATCCATGCTTCGCATGTGACGCCAAAGGGATGAGGATGAGTTAGGGTTACATTATTCTTTGCTGCCACCCGAAGTGTGGTTTTTTTTACTGCAATTGTCGTTGTTCCTATGATATTCATCACAGGTTTGGGTAGTCGCAGGAGGAAGGGTTGGTGTTGGTGTAGTGGGAAAGGGATTCTTATCGGATTGTGAGATCTGAGTGGCAGCCGTATCATTAGATGTAGGATTAGCTGTGGCCTGAGAGATCGCAACAGGTGGAGGAGACGAAGTACTGAGTATGGCAGAAACCGTAGGCGGTTTGTTCGAGCGAACCTGTGCCGGGTGGCATGAAGTAGCCTTAGAAGTGTCGCGAAGGGTGAGATAGAGAGTCTAGAGTGTACTACATGAGACGTGGTAGCCTCCGTGAACTCTAAGAATGTCAATGAATGAGGATCGATAAAAAAAGTTGACAAACAGGGCGACACAAGCCGATAGAAATTTGAGTCTGAAACGATGGTCCTGGAGGCAATTCTGGGAAACAAGTGGTTGTTTAAGAAGTGGGTCCAGGTAAGTGAGACAAAGGCCGGGCTATTATTCCAAGGATTAGCATAACTGATCAGAGTCATCAGCAAGTATAAGTAGGAAAAAGCCACGTTCACATATCAAGGAATTGAGTGCGGTGATGTTAAGGTAATAAACTGTGGCACCACCGTCTGTAAGCATTTTGGCAGTGGTAGTGGACTGAGTGTGATCAACAGTAGTTCTTGCTACAAAAAGATAACAGATTGTTTTTTAATTGCACGTCTTCCACAGACATAGAAGGGTGCCGGCAAGTCAGTTTTTGTGAGAGTGACCCTTAGTGCCACAGCGGCCACACGCAATGGAGCAGTTGAAAGAGTGATGATCCGTTTTCCAACACACAAAACAGATATAAGATCTATCGGTACGCTGAGGTCCAGAAGCCATGCGACGAGCCTGTGCACGGGATACACGCTGAGTAGCTGTGAGGTGTTCGGGGTCTATGTTGTCCCATTCATCGAGAAGATCAGAAAGGCAAATGGAAGTGAAGGGTAATCTGAGATCCCTGTCAGCCATATACCGACGAGCTTGTTTTTTGGTCTCTCTGGGACAAGCCAGTCAAATAGCAGTATTAATAAAGTGAATTGTGAAAGTAAGACCTTGGAGTTTAGCATGGTCACCAAGTTTCGTGCAGCGAATCGCCAAAACACGGGAATCTTCCTCAAATCCGACTGATATTTTTTGGAGGTATGTCATATTGATGGGCTGGGAGACCCGGATAAATTTGTGGAAATAGGATTGACATATGATATTGTATAGTGTCCAGGGGTTTTTCATCAGGTCTTACGGGTCCGAAATTCACCAGTGCTGTCAGCTTCGCGAGCCGGTTCGTAGGGGACTGGCATATTGCCAGCAGTGATTGGTGGTTTTAGTAATTCGCAGTAATTATGTCATCGAGGTTCCATTTATAATCTTCAAGAGCTGCAAGGTTGTGATCAGCGTCCCAACGGTCATAATTATCCCCCTGTAGGGCGAGACGTGCCCGTTTGATGTGAGTAGAGCCGGGGGCTGATTCTTCAGTTGAACCGAGTTTAGTACAAAAATGATTAAGATCTTTAAAATAGAGCTTATAACCGAACAACGCCTATAACTTTGTACTCTCAAGAACTGAAGTTTATTTATGTAATTTGTATATAGTATAGACTAGGAAATGTTTGTTTGTGTAAAGTTCCTTATTATGCATATCTAAAGGCGGGATAATAAGAAGGTGACTACATAGGCGAGGGAGAAAAACCAAGTCCAGTTTCTATAAAACCAAGTTGACAATGAGTCACGCTTGAAAGAAGTTCGATTAAATGCCCATAACCTATTAACCAGTACAAAATTAGGTTCAGGATAACAGTTTGTTGACTATTATGAATTCCAGGATATATACGAAAGTAATTCAGACTGGGAAGCATGATCCCCTCGTGGAATAGTCCTAGGAGATTAATAGGAGATATACCTGGTTTAGGGTTCTAAACCCAACTAAAGAAACTTGGTTGCTTTGACACAAATGTCATAAATATGTAGCCTCCTAAAATAAAGCAGATGGATTTTTTCATTTCTATTTTATTTATTTATAAAAAAACAATACCAAAAAACAATCGCATGAGGTCATGAAAATAAATACATTTGGCGCCAAAATATGACCCTTTTTGGATGGCGGATGCAGATTGCAGAATATCCAGGTCTCTCTCACTCTGTGGGTCTGTGCGGCTGTTGAGACTTGAAAGTCTGAGCCCTGAGGACCGGAGTCTGGAGAGTCTGTGCCTCTGTGGTCGACAAACGAGAAGTTCGGAAAATTGCATCGTATATGTATACAATACATAAACACTATTTTTAACAGTGACTTATGTAGAACATACGATTGTTCACATTTAGCAATTTTGATCAATCGTGTGCAGATTTATATCAAGTTTACAATCATCCGCACCAACTGAAGTAGCTCCTAAGGTATACAAGATGGTGGTGTTAGGCGAGACGCAGGTGGAGATCACTGAAATGAACGAGAATCAAGTGAAGTTTGTTCTTACAAATTCGAGTCTCCCGTTTGCCAATGCTGTTCGACGGATAATGATTGCGGAAGTTCCTACGGTTGCCATCGATATTGTGGAGATCCAAGGAAACAATACTGTGCTACTGGATGAGGTGTGCTTGATTGTAGTGTGCTTGTCTATTTTTTAGGCCTCAAATACACCCAGATTTTATGCACAATCTTGTACCTACCCCTCGTTTTCCCTGTTTTATTCAATTCGCATCAATCGCATACAATAGCCAAAGATATATATACAAATGAACACTGCCACAATAGTATGTAAACTCACGATTGCGATAATACACAGGAACACGAAAGCGACGGTTGCGTACACACGTATCCATACACGTATCCACACGTATACACACACGTATCCACACGTATACACACACATACACGTGTACACACATGTACACGTCCACACACATGTACAGGTGCACACACACGGACACACACACACACACACACACTCACACACGTACACAAACACATACACACACACACACACATATATA